TGCTTGTCAAAAAATGGTCGCCATTTGAAAAATAATAGTTAGACACGAAAATGTTATTTTGTAAACTTGTCTCATTCATATTCAACACACTAGTCACTAAAACTCCGCTATTGCAATTTTCTGATATCACCTGAGGTCCATAGATTAGTTTACGTCCGATCATGGCCACCTAGATGCAATTTTAAAAGTGACTCGGAAAAAATCAAGTAGGCTGAAAAACTTCCGGAAATGTCAGTTTCTGATCCAGAATTGTCTCAGAAATCCAAAAATGTTACAATATACAGGGTGTTCCATTTAAAAATTCAGAACCGGAGCCATTTCCGCTGAAACCGGAAGTGACCGGAAAGTGAAAAATATGTGAAAACATTCCTCTCCACATACCATTCATTTATACCAAATTCAATTCTCCTAATAGTCTAGAAATTATGACTTGTCTAATAGATTCGTTGACACCCGGTATAGTGGTCCAACGAAAAGTATGCACCTTGCTTTTCCCTTTTTTTTGTAACTTAACGCAAAAATGCTCGGACAGTTCAATTTTGCTTTTGAGGGGGATACATTTAAGATGTATTTTTCTACCTGTGCCTTCAACCTTCTAGCGGGGTGAGTAACAACCCCAAAATTTTAAATAGAAAGTGGGGTCGAGTGATATATCATTTGAAAGGGCACAAAATTCCCTTTCCAATGATACCTAATTTGTTGTATTTACTTGAATAGTTATAAAAAAAGCAAGAACATTTACTCAATATTTTTGGTGTTGATGAAAATGCGAAAAAAACGGCATTTTTACCACTACTACATTCCTCAATTTCTCTCGTGCGTTTTTTGATTCAAATAACAACAGCAGATAAGTGTACAGAATAAATTTAGGCAAACGTTCATTGATTCAATTTGGTTGCTTCCGAAATTATTTCAACTTTACTGTAAAAATGGTTTATTCCATTCCTGAACGAGTTCAAATTGTTAAACTTTATTATCAACATAATAGTTGTGCTAGACTTACTGCTCGCCTCTTTAATAACAGTCATCCCGGGAAAAATGTGAAACACCAGCCACGGAAACCGTTCAGAAATGAAGCAGTGGAAGTCGCTGTTTTGAGACATGTTGAATTGGATCATACTCAAAGTACCCGTCAGCTTGCTGCCGCCTCAGGTGTCTCCCGTTCGTCCATAATACGGATATTAAAAGCCTATAAATTTCATCCGTACAAAATTAAATTAGTACAGGAACTCAATGAAGATGATCCTGATAGAAGGCTGCAAATTTGTGAGCAACTGAGCCAGCTACTAACTGATGATCCGCACCTATCATTCAACACGTGCTTTTCCGATGAGAGCACATTTTTTTTGAATGGAGCTGTGAATAGGCATAACTGCCGTTACTGGGATGACAGTAACTCACATTTATTCCGAGAGGTCCATACCCAGTACCCTCAAAAAATCAATGCCTGGTGTGGCATATTAGGTATTCATATCGTAGGGCTACTTTTTATTCCTGGGAATTTAAATGGTGAGGTCTACCTGAACATCCTTGAAGAATTGATCCTCTCATAACAGAAATAATTGAAAATGACCAAAATCATAATGATGATCGGCTTCATTTCCAGCAAGATGGAGCTCCTCCTCGCTATGTTGTTCCGGTAAGAGAGTTTTTAGATGACCGGTTTCCTGGACGGTAGATTGGAAGGAGAGGCCCCATCGAATGGCCTGCCAGGTCACCTGATTTATCACCTTTAGACTTTTTCTTTTGGGGACACTTGAAAAATAAATGTTTTGCTACGCAGCCCAAGTCCATAGAAGATCTTCGCCAACGAATTACAGCAGAGTGCAGAAGTATAACACCTGATATGCTACAGAATGTTACGAATAGATTTGAACAAAATCAGTAGATGAAAAACACCAATTCTAGCCCAAAATCCCATGTATTTTCGTATGGAGCTAAACTTTTTGCAATTTTTGGTTCAAACAGGAGTTTATGTTTATGTTACAATGTTTATTGTACAACTGGCAACGCCGAACCTGCCATGCTGGCATGTATTGACATTTGACAGATGCAGTCTTATGAGTCTAGTGTTTACAGTGTCTTTCTTCAACCAATAGATAGTTCAGCTAGTGACTCATAGATGAATCTGTGTGTTCTATAACTTAATTTTCAAACCGGCAACGCTACATTACCCCATGAACATTGATTTATTGTACAACTGACAACACCTGCTTGCACTAGCAACCGGTAAAACCTCGATCTCCATCTCTCTTTGCATCGATTACGTCACGCGCGTCTCTTGCTCTCACACACACACACATACACATCTTTACATGAAATATTAATTATTTCCCAAATCTAAGTATATTTTCCTATCTTCAATATGATAATGACGATTACATTCTACGGAAATCAAAAATAAAAATGCTGTCAAGTATAATGAATGAGTCAATTTCAGTCCCGACAAAACTAACGCTATAAATACCCAACATTCGCAGTCAACTTCAATATCTTACGATGGTGTAGAGGCTAAGGACAATGTTCACGGCGCGGACGATTCAGGTTCGAATCTCATAACTATAGACTTTTTTAATTAAAATCACGTGACAAGGAGGTCTGAGCGCTGATGCGGAGTCTCAAGAGGGCCTGAGCGGTGATGTGGAGTACTAAGGGAGGCGAGGGCAAGGGGGTCGAGTTCCATGTTTGAATCGCTACGATACTCGTTTCATCCTGCGTCGATGACGTCACACGTTTCCCCAACTCCTTTTTGAACCAAAAATTGCAAAAAGGTTAGCTCCATAAGAAAATACATGGGATTTTGGGCCAGAATCGGTGTTGTTCATCTACTAAAATCTGTATTATTACAAATGGGTCACATTTTCAGCACTTGCTGAAGTAAGATTCTACTAAGTCAATTACACATTTCAAAGTACTGGGTTGTAGTTGTTTTTCTTCATAATGCCTACATGTTTAAGTGAAATACAACAAATTAGGTATCATTGGAAAGATAATTTTGTGCCCTTCCAAATGATATATCACTCGACCCCACTTTCCATTTAAAATTTTAGGGTTGTTACTCACCCTCGCTAGGGGGTTGAAGGCACAGGTAGCAAAATACATCTTAAATGTGTCCCCCTCAAAAGCAAAATTGACCTGTCCGAGCATTTTTGCGTTACAGATCATGCAATGTTACAGTACTGACACAAAAGTTATTTATAGTAGTATTACAAGTTATTACGGATACAAGATACCAAGGCGTTCAGAGAGTCGAAAATGAATATCGCAGTGTTCACAGATTTCATTGAAGCTACTGCACATTAAATTCAATGGTGATCGTAGCATGATATTTGTGCGTGATGCTCCGAAACAGAACTTCAGATTGTGTCGACCTTCACTCCTTGGTACTAATAAATTGATCTCGGGTAAAAGAACCGTACTGTCAATACTGTTGTTGAGTAATTTATCCAGGAATTTTATACCAAGGATAACTCTCCTATTTTCCAAAGATGTCATATCAAATCGTGTCAACAATATGTTATGATCGATGCCTCTCGTGGGGTATTGACCATCAACTTTTAGACATAAGTATTTCAGGAACTTCCTTTGTACGCTCTCAATTGATGTTTTTTGGTAGTCGTAAACCGGATTCCATAACAAAGAGCCATACTCTAACTTAGATCTGGCATACGCAAAATATAGTAATTTTAAGGTGGCAATACTTTTGAAGTCCTTGCCATTTCTGTAAATGAATCCAAGATCTTTTATCTCATGTCCGCGGTTGATTGTAGATTTGTTGATTGAATAACAATACATTAAAGTTCGCTTTTTTGTTGGAAATTATATTATTTTACATTTGGATACGTTCAGTTGTAGAGTTGTAGACGATTATGATTACACCAAAGTTTGATTACATTGCCAAGGTTGCCAAGTCATTAATAAAAATTAAAAATGAAAGAGGTCCAAGATTGGAACCTTGTGGTACCCCAGATGTAACTACGTACTGGGCCGATTTGAAAGATTCATATTCGACGAATTGTTTTCTGTTAATTAGATATGATTCAATTGGAGTGAGCAGTCGGTTAGAGAGTCCCAATTTTGTCAATTTGCTGAGAAGAACGTGATGGTCTATTTGATCGAAAGCTTTTTGAAAGTCTAAATAAACAACATTGACTTTCTGAACATGGTAATACATAACATTTTGCACACATATCTTGAAGAATTTGGAAAAGTTACATAAAACTGAAATCGCC